ACTCACTACCGTGGCTTCGTTTTTGGGGTTTGACTTATCCCCTTCACTGCGGTCTCTCCTTCCTGGTTGGAAATGTCAGTGGAGACGTTCAGCACCCAGAAAGGGACAGGCTGCAGCCTGAAGGTTGGCAGGAGCCCGAACAGGCCGCTCCTCACTGCGGCCTGAGGGAGCAGCCCTGGACAGCTTTTCCTGTGAGCCACGCCAGCTGTTTTAGACAAGCTCCGGCTTGGAAAAAAGTGCCTTTTGCTTTAGAGAATCCGGGTGTATAGTATGAAGCAGCCATGCACTTGTACTTTCATGGTCTCTCCAGCACTGTTCTGTCTTGACAAGTGTTTTATGTGAACATGCCAGAAGCACTCTAGCCACTCTGCTCAGACCTCCCCTCCTTCCCGTGTGCCCCTGTGTGCAGAGTGGAGGGCGTGCAGCGTGCCCGGCAGCTGGCAAGCCCAGAGACATTAGGAGAGGCGTCTAGACTAAGTTACACTCAGCACTTTAGAACCAAAAAAGCTCAGTGATGGGTCATTCTCCATAGCAGGAGTCCCACCTGGGGTGAGTGTGGTGTGGATGGATTAATCCAGAAAGTGGAAGATACGTCAAGGCAAAGGAAATGCTTTCAGGATCCAGAGGTGATGACGTGACAGATACTCCCAGTCTTCTCCCTCAGCAAGTTTGTCCTCTTGTTACAAATGGACAGCAGCAGCAGCACCTCCTGCCACAGCACTCGGGCCTGTCTCTAATGCTGAGGAATCGATGGGGAGAGGGAAGGAGATGCACACGATCAGGGTCCCACGACCACAGCTTTTTGGAACCCAGGAAGCAAGTGGCATTTGCTTCAGTTGTGGCCTAAGAAGGAACAAGTTCATTTGTGTGATAAGCTTTGCTGACATCAGGATTCACCTTGTCGATGAGAAGAAACCATTATCTTTTTACCTTCAGGTGGTTTACTATTCTGTAAAGAATATCTGTAAATACTTTGTACAGAGCCATGTATGAAATACACAGCTGTATGTGGTTACTAATCTCTCTGTCATTCTGTCCTGTCTGCCACTTGGTAGGAGTAGACTCTGGTCTTAGACAAATGGCTTGATGCTCCCCGCCTTCCACCCCGGCCGGGGACTGTGCTCTGGTCTCTGGACTCCTGGTCAGCCTTGAGTTGCCTGGAGAGCTGGGATGGTACCTGCAAGTCCTCTTTCTGTTTCACCTGCAATGAGTATGATCTGCACACTCCGGCCGCGGCTAGGTGCCCCTGGTTAGTCAAGCAGCAGAAGTGGTGTGGGGTGTGAGCTGGGCAATCTTGACTGTTTTTCACATTGATCTGGGATGCCCTCATTTCCAAAGGCTGACACTCGCGTTTGGAACCTAACCAGAGCCTAGTGGACATAACTTTGCCTCCACATGTAATTCCTGTCCCAGAGGAGCTGTGAGCGCTTTTTCTTGCCAAGCTTTTCCAACATGGCACTCCCAGCAGTTGGGTATTGGGAACCAGAGCAGTTGCCAAGTGCCTGTTGCCACCATCCTGTGGATGGGCCGATCACAGAGGCAAGAATCCATGTCGTCTGGGATGTTTAATGTTTCCCTGTCCCAGATGGGGGGAGGGGAGAGTGCCCAAGGCTGAACAGCATCACAGCCCCCTGACCTTGTCCCAGCACTGTAGCCAGCTGCCCATGCTGCCCCCCGATCTGACACGGAGAATGCAGAGCTGGGACACAGGTCAGGACCCTGTGGCCTCTGGGAGCTCACACCGGAGTTGCATTGAAGGAACAGTTTGGGTGGCAGATTCACTGGCAGTTTCATGGGAATTGAGTGTAAAAAGTAGAATTTTGAAAATGGGAACATTGAAGGAAAGGTGTACGTTGTATGAGAAATATTTGTGTTTTTTCTGTTTCCCTAAAATTCTTGGAATTTCCTGATAGGAGTATCTTTTGTGCTTCATGATTCCCTTGCAGTCCCACCTGAGTTTATGCTAACGAGATGGCTCACAGTGGGACTGCTAGATGTCCTCAGAATGGGGCAGGTCCCCGAAAGGCCAAAGTGATGAGTGGGGACTTTTGGCCCCATCCCCTGGCCTCCTAGGAGGAGAGGAAAGGCTGGAGATTGAACTCCACAACCTTGATTCAGATTCTAGGAGCTGCTGGGTTGGTGAACGCATCAAAATGCTGGGAGGGTCTGCACCCTCTCCCCATACCTTCTCTATTCATTTCTTCCATTGAGCCGTTTCTGAGTTATATCCTTTATTAAAAATCGGTAAACAAGTGTTTTCCTGAGTTCTGTGAGCCCTACTAGCAAATGATTGAATCTGAGGGGGAGTGGTAGGAACCCCTGAATTTGAAGTTGGCCAGGAAGAAGTGTGGGTAGCCTGGGCACCGTTTGCGGTTGGCATCTGAAGTGGGGCAGTCTTGTGGGACTGAGCCCTATAATTTGTGGGATCTGACGTTAACCAGGTAGTGTCAGGATTGAACTGTTGGACACCCGTTGGTGCTGGAGGATTGGAGAAGTGCAAGGCTGAGGGGAAAGAAGTATGAAAATAACAGCTGAGTGAAGTGTGTGGGTGTCTGTAGACAGCAGAGCCCAAGAGGACCGGAGTTTGGGGTCTGTGGATGGAGAGGGCAGTGGCAGGGGAAGGTCCTTAGGGTTCAGGTCTGGGACAACTTTGAGCTGTGGAGGAGAGTGGGACTCTAGGTCCGTGGTCGGCAAACTGCGGCTCGCAAGCCACACGCGACTTCTGCGCGTGGGCCACGGTTTCAATCGCACTGTACGTGCGCGCCCGCACGTGGTATTTTGTGGAAGAGCCACACTCAAGGGGCCAAAGAGCCGCATGTGGCTCACGAGCCAGTTTGCCGACCACTGCTCTAGGTGATTTGGGGGTGAGGATGGGCCCAAAACTGGGTCCAGAGAGAATCATTGGTAGCATCATGGCAAGTGTGTTACTTCATGGCAGTTTGAGCTGCTGCAAGTTCAACATCTGTGAGACTCATTGTCAATAACAGTAAGATAGGGATAGTCCCATCTCACATGGACGGTAATGAAATGATGTTTGGGAAAATGCTTTACAAACTGTGAGGTCATGCCAGTGTTTTGATTCCATTTTGGTGAACAGTTTAAGAATAAATGCCTTTAGCCAGCCCTGCGCATGGGACCCATGTTCGTTCAGAGATTAAGTGGTCACTAAAAGGAATAGGCCAAAGGCTTTTGCCAAATCGAGCCAAGAGATGATGGGCCTGCAGCTCAGCCTGACTGTCCTTTCCCTGCCCTGCTGTCCTCCGTGTTTTCTGTAGCTCCTGCTGCCTTTTTTCCTGTCTTCACAAAGGCCCTCAACTTGCTAGCAGTATTTTTCCCAGACTTGCATATGGTTGGAATTTGCCCAGGAGCCTTTGTGAGCCAGCAAGGCTGTGGGCTTGCCTCCAGCTTCCTGCGTTTGAGCGAGTGGCTTTTATGCCAGCCCAACACTAAGGAAGACACATGCAGCTCTGACATGGGCTGTGGCACGTCCTCCACACTCTGCCCACAGCAGCAGCAGCAGCTCTTTATCTGAGCAGTGGGCTTCCACTTGCCTTTTCCTGTCCAGGAGACAAAGATAGTCACACAAATATATTTGGGGCCTCCTGCTGCTTCCTTGGGGAGGTAATTTAAGTCTAAAGCTCATGGGGCTTGGTTTCAAGTCTGCTCTGGCCAGTTGGCGATGGATTCTCAAGAGCTGGGGCCCGGGCCTGGGGTGGCCCCTTGGGAGAGGATGGCACTTCCCCTTGACCCTGCAAGAGAGAGCACTTGTGAACCTCACCCCCTGGTACATTGAGTGTGGCACTGGAGACTAGAACCCTGGGGCTGCCCTGACCCCCCATTTTGGCTGCAGCAGACTCACGCCCTGTCCGTGCTGGCGTGGATGGAGTGGGCCGAGGGAGAGATGTAGCCAACGAAGCCCCTTGTGCCTGTCTTGTCCTTATTTTGATGCAGCCACAGGTAAATACTGCAACACCTCTTAATATTTATGGGGGAAGGAAAGGCAGGGCATTGAAAAGACCTGTTAGCAGTTGCATCCTCTGAACCAAGAGAATGGTCTGCTTTTCTCTTGTGCCCCAGCCCCTAAGGCAGAGGTGGGGAACGTCCAGCCCTCAAAATCATTTGGTCTGGCTCTGCCAAGGCATTAGGGGTGAGTTAATTAAATGTTTGACCAAATAGAGCAGGCTAATTTTTCAAAAACTTATTTTTATTGATTTCAGAGAGGAAGGAAGAGGAAGAGATAGAAATATAATTGAGTTATCAATCGGCTGCCTTCTGCACGCCCCCCTCCCCCCCACCACCACTGGGGATTGAGCCTGCCACCCAGGCATATGCCCTGACCAGAAATCAAACAGTGACCTCCTGGTTCATAGGTCAATACTCAACCACTGAGCCACACCGGCGGTGCTAGCAGGCTACTTTTTAAGTTGCTAATTTTGTGTGGCCCATGAAGGATGTTGTATCCAAATGGCCCTTGGCAGAAAAAAGGTTCCATCCCTGCCTAAGGGATGCCAAGATGGACCTGGCAGGAGGGGAGGGAGGAAGGAGGTGGTAAGAGAGTACTCTGCCCTGATCTGGGCCCCATCTTACTCCTGTGGTCCAGGTCTCAACTGCTGTGCCCTCCAGGTCAGTGGCTGTGCCTGTGTCTCGCTCAGAGTGGGAGGCTGCCCGAGCGTGCCCTTGAGCTACCACAGCTGCTGTGAGCCAGCGCCGGCAAAGCAGGAAGACATTCATGTCCTCTGATAGCTCTGCTCACAGTGCCTGTGGTCAACTCCAGTCCTGGCCTCCAAGGACAGGGGGGCATTGCGTTTCCAGCGGTTAGAATAAGCTCACTGCCCTGAAACCACATGCCCCAACTTCTGAAGCCTGGAGTCTAGGCCCTGAACAGCAGAGACAAGCTCTGCCTCTTTGATGACCCACGGCACAGCTCAGACATGTTGACCATCAAATACCAGGTCTCACGGGAAGGGAGTGGGTCCGAGAATGCAGTAAAACTTACAGAATGAACACCCAGAATGTTTTTTATTAATCCCTGACCAACACAAAAAGAAGACTGATAAATATGGCTGGACCAATGCTGTGACATTTTTACCTGAGATGCTAAAATTAGGATGGACAGCCTCACCCCTCAATTGCAGCAGTTTTACCTGATCCTGAAATGTTTGTCCCCGACCTTGGATGCCCACTGAGCGGCAGAGGGAGCAGCAAGCCTTTCCTGCCGCCTGTACCTGCTGCTCGGCCCCTTCCTGCCCCTCAAGCCCACACCCATCTGCAGAACCTGCTTTGTGGCCTCTCAATACACTGCAAACTCAAGGGCATCCTACCCGCTCAAGCTGGGCACAGGGATGCCAAGCGGCTCACATACACTTCCTGCTGCAGTTCCTGGAGCGCCTGGGATCCTGCTTTCTCAGAGTCCCAGCCCATGTCCCTCTCACTCCCTCAGACATCACACTCATCCCTTCCTGGAAAACCATTTTAATGAGCTGACACCAGCAGCAAAGAGGGAGACGTGGAAGCTGGACCAGAGGAGCTGTGCTTTAGAAACTGCTAGGTCTCCCTCCTGGCTCTGAACAGGATTAGCAGCAGTTCTAAAAGGCCCCAGGCCTCCAACAGCAAAGCCAGAGAAAAGTCAGCCCAGAAAGCCGACGGGAAGTGGCAGGCTGGGAGTGCACAGTGTTGAGACGGGGTGGGGGGTTTGGGGCGGGGGGGGGGGGTGTATGGACTCACACGGGGCTCTCAGAGGCTCTACCCAGCAAGGCCTAGGGCCAGGGCTGTGTAAGGCTGCGCCAGGCAGAGGTGGGAGCCACAAAGAAGAGATGAAAGGTCTGGCCAGCAAGCCCCAGGGAAAGGCAAAGGCACTGGGGCAGAGGCGGCTAAGGACAACAGCCAGCTCAGGTGGGGCCCTTGCAACACCCACAACAAACAAGGCCGCCATGCAGCTCCGAGGCCTTGGCTCTGCTGGGTCCTTCTCCGAGCGTAAAGGCATCTCCCAGGCCAGAATTCAGAGCCAAAGCACCTGCCCTGTCCCACAGCAACGGTGGGCGTGGGGACTGGGCCATCTTCAGCTCAGTGACAGTTCTGACAGCTGGGGTGGCAAGGAATCCCATTCACCCGGCAACGGCAGCCCCCGCTGGTGTCTCCAGGGCCCTACAGAATCGGGGAGAGAGGTCAGGGCAGGGCAGACAGTGGCCCCATGATATTCCATCAACCAAAACCCACTCCACTCCAGGCCCTGCTTCTAAACTGGCCCTCGGCCTCAGCAGCCTGATGGAGGCCATCACGAGGGCCTTTCTGGGCACCCAGTTCCATGGCCTCGCTCTGCCTCCCCGAGACCCAGAGCAGGGAAGGAGCTGGTGGTCTCTGCACATTCTGGAAGGTCAGCACATGGGCAGCACCAAGAAGGGCTGCTCCTCCGCCTCCACCGTCTCAAAGCCCGTCTGTGACAATGATCCCCCAACCCCAGCAACACACCCCTAATTTGATAGCTACCACATATGAAGTGCTCACATGACAGGCATCCACTGCGCCCGTTTCTTACCCTTTTTCATTTGATTCTGACAATAAGCCTAAGTGAGACAGGCCCAGCTATCACCTCCATTTTCCAGATAAAGAAACCGAGGCTCAGAGAAGGCAGTAACAGCCTAACCCACACGGCCCGCGTGTGCCAGAGCCGCGGACCCACGCCACCGCGGACTCCACACTGAGCCCTTCCTTGGTCACTGTCCTCTAGGGCAAGGGCTGCGACTCTTCTCTCTGAAGAGCCAGACGGTGATTTCTGGCCTTGCAGGCCACGCAGTCTGCCTTCGGAGCATAAAAGCCGCCGCAGACTACGTGAAAGAATAAGCAGGGCTGTGCTCCCCTAAAACTTCGCTTACGGACCAAAAAAATCAGATTCATGTGATTTTCACACGTCACAAAATATTCTTTTGATATTTTTTAACCATTTAAAAAGTAAAAAATGTTCTTACTTCACAGGCTGCACAAATACAGGCAGGGGACTGGATGGGGCTGTAGTTTTCCAACCCCCACTCCTGGGCGAAGCCGAGGGCCCCCTCCCCACCTCTCCTGAGCCTCTGCTCCCTAAGGACTCACCCCGGGGCCCCAGCGCGGGCCCTTGGTGACCCAGCAGATCTCGGTTTGGCAGACAGTGCAGCGGATCCAGTCACAGCCGTCCTTCTTCTGCACCACGATCTGGCACTGCGGGCAGTGCATGGCCTCGCCCTGCTGCAGCATGGACTGGGGCAGAGCAGGGGCTGACGTTGGGGCCAGGCGGGGGCAGCGGCCTGGCCTCGTTCCCTCCCTGTGGCCCTCCCAACTATAGAGGAAAACCCGCCTCCGCTGGAGTGGCCTCTCTCCCAGGCTCCCTGTTTCTGCCGTCTCCTCCCTCCACCCAGACACTTGTCCTGCTGCTGAGCCCCTATCCCAAGCCCCAGCTCTGGATGGGAGTGAGGCCAGAGGGGGGCCAGAGCCTCCAGGGCCCATACACCACAGCCCTTCTAGCTCCCAAAACTCAAATCCCCAGGCCCTCAGCCCTTCCCAGGCTCACCCTCAGCATCTCCGTCGTCTGCCGGGCGGCTACGTCGTTCTGAGCCCGCAGGGCCAGGTCGTCCTGGTACTCCCTGCAGTTCATCTGCTCGTGGATGGCCTGCAGGGAGTGGGGGGCTCGAGATGAGAAGTCTCCCGTTGGGGATCTGGGAGAGGTGGGGGACAGCAGGCACCCACACAGTACATAATGCCTCTAGGTGTTGTCACCGACCGGGCCTCACGTTATAAACCACACACGCACTTTACAGAAGACACCGAAGCCAGGGAGGTGAAGCTGAGGTCGGCATGTATGATAATATTTACCCATTTAAGTCCTGATGGGCACAAACCCTAAACCACCTCTCCCCCAGCTGTGGCCCCTCATCCCACCTTGCAGAGCAGGCAGTTGACGCGGAAACACACGGGGCAGGTGAACTCATTGACGTCATCCTCAAAGAAGCACCACCCCTTGCAGTCCGGGGTCTTGCAGTGGTAGCTGAAGGCACTGCGGTTCTCAGCGATGGAGACACCCAGGTCCAGAAACCGCTGGTAGTCCTCGGGGGTCAGCAGCTGCCAAGACCATCGCCTCAGTCTCCGGGACTCAGGACACCTGCTATGCGGCCCTCCCTGCCACCAAATATGCCCCTGGGAGCCCCCGATCCATAAAGTCCCACCCAGCCCCAGGCTCGTTTCTTCCCGTCAGTATTTGAAACTCCATCAAAAAGTGGATCCATGTTCTGGAGAGGGCTGGTGACGATGGCCGCACAACAGTGGGAATATACTTAATGCACCGAACTGTGCATTTAAAAGTGGTGAAGATGGTAGTTTTATATACATTTTACCACAATAAAAAAAATGGACAAAAATAATAACAAGCAATGCTGGGGAACATGTGGTTAAACTAGCACCCTGGTACATTTCACTCTGAGAAAGCAATGTGGCAGTAACATTTCAACCACCCAGACTTTTCTGATCCTTCGGGACTCACTCTGCTTCTACAAGTTTATCCTAAGAAAATAATATTAAGAAGAAAGAGACACCATGCAAAATGTTTGTTGAAGCATTGCTTACGAACGGAGACGTTGGAATTATTAAGAGGTATAAACAGGATCTATGCCATAGAGATAACCTTTAGAAAGATTTTGTAGCAAAATAGCAAAGGCTGCCCTAGCCAGTTTTGCTCAGTGGTCAGAGCGTTGGCCCACAGACTGAAGGGTCTCGGGTTCGATTCCTGTCAAGGGCACGTACCTCAGTTACAGGCTCAATCTCTGGTCGGGGCAGGGGCAGGAGGCAACTAGTTGATAAGTCTCTTTCACATCAATGTTTCTCTCTGTCTCTCCCCCTCCCTTCTACTCTCTCTAAAAATCAATGGAAGACATATGTACTACTATCTGTAATACTTCAAACAATAAAAAAACTAAAGATCAATGGAAAAAATATCCTCAAGTGAGGATTAACCAAAAAATAAATAAAATAAAAAAATAGCAAAGGCTATTGTATCTATGCTGGTTATACTAGTAAAAATCATGCCTGGCCAGCATGGTTCAGTGGTTAGGATCGACCTATGAACCAGGAGCTCATGGTTCAATTCCTGGTCAGGGCACATGCCCAGGCTGCAAGCTCGATTCCCAGTAGGGGGCATGCAGGAGGCAGCCAATCAATGATTCTCTCTCATCATTGATGTTTCTCTCTCCCTCTCCCTTCCTCTCTGAAATCAATAAAAATCATGCGTACGTTCTATATCTTGATTGGGGTGGTGGTTACATGAGACATTTGTCAAAATTCACCCAATAGTACACTTACAATAACTGCATTTTATTGTGTGCAAAGTATACCGTAATGAAGTTGATTTAAAAAAGGAAAAATACCATGTCTGCCCAGAGACACCAAAGTTAACAGGAGAAAAATGCAATCAGGGATCTGCTGGGATGGTGGGGTCGTGGCAACAACTATGGCTACCAGGTCACATGGACTGACTCTCCAGGCCCCGGAGAGGAGGCCTCAGCAACCTTCTGGAGGTACCCTTCCCAGATACCCCACAGAGGAAGGAGATGAAAATGGGGCTGCTCTTGGGGTTAATTGTGGGAGTTCTCAAGTTCTACCCTTCTGTCTGCCCTCTTTCCCTTGAGGCAGAACTCCTTGGGCTCCACGAAATGCTTGGTGAAGCCAGAGGGTTCTCAGAAGCAGGGTCACAGGGGAGAGGCAGGAGTGACGGGGAGAAACAGGGTCTGGTGTACGTGCCTGTGGGGTCCTCCATTTGGACCTCAGCCACCATGCCTCACGTTTTTGCCTGGGTGTCCGAAGATGCCCAGTTCTGGGAAGGCCACTGCCCAGCAGTTTAAAAACCTTAAATCAAGCCCAACAGTCCACTTTACAGATGGGGAAATGGAGGCCCAGAGGAGGGAGAGATCAACAGCAGTCAGGGAGAGAACTTGATAATAGCATTAACAGCAATAGCGCGCGCACACACACAGGTGCACACAGATAGCACTGTGCTAGACTGCACACACACAGGTGCACACACAGACAGCTCTGTGCTAGACTGCACACACAGGTGCACACACAGACAGCTCTGTGATAGACTGCACACACACAGGTGCACACACAGCTCTGTGACAGATTGCACACACACAGCACTGTGATAGATGCTGGAGGAATGGCCCCAATTTGCTCATGTCTCCCTGAGCCTGGAGTCCCCTCCTGCACAGAATCTGGGCTTGAGCCTGTGACTTGCTTTAGCCAGCGGAAGAGCAGCAAGTGTGAAAGGAGCCGACCTGAAAAGCACTCCTGCGCTGGGGCCCCGCTGGCTGCTCTGGGAACTCTGAGACCCTACCACGCGGGAGCCTGGCCAGCCTGCTGGCAGATGGGAGACCAAAGTGGAGAGGCCCAGCCAGCCCAGCCATCGCAGGAAGACCATCGTAAGCCAGTCCAGGACAGTGACCACCAGCTAAGCCCAGATGAGGTCAGCCAGGCCCAACCTGGACCAGAAGAATCGTCCAGATAAGCCGAACCGAAATTACTAAGTGGCAGCTTCATGAGCTAAATAAACGGTGGCTGTTTTAAGCCACTAAGTCTGAATGACCTGTTACACAGCACAAGGTAACTGATAAGGACTTACCACGTGTCAAGCGCTACTCTCGATTCTTTACACAAATCCTTCACAACCTTGAAACAGAAAGTAACTCTAACTTGGCCCTGCACTGAGATGAGAACATGAGGCACAGAGGCCGAGTATCTGACGGGAGGTCACCCAGGCCCGCTACCTGCTTGGCTGTCTTTCCTTCATAAGGGGGTTTCTTGACCAGCTACCTCCCCCAGTTCCTGTCCTGTTGACTACTTGGGCCCCCAGCATCCCACACAGAGAAGCTCTTGATAAATGTCTGCTGCCCGAGACCGGCACCCTGGGCCAGTTCCCACCTGCCAGCTCGGGGCCCAGCTCCCCGCCCCCAGGCTTACCGCCCGGATCTCCCTCTCCAGCAGCTTGCCCGAGCACGAGTAGGTGTTGTCAATGAAGGGGCAGGCGACCTCTGCCTCCTGGCTGTTGCGGATGGTGCCCTGCAGACACTCCCTGGGAGCGGGATGGAGTGTAGGTGGATTATCTGAACCCCACCCACCGGGACCCCACCCTCGCAGGGTGAGCCTGTTCCCAGGTGGGTTTCTCAATGTCTCCCTTCTGCCCCACCAACCCGTCACCATGGCCTCAACGCCTGCCCACCCCACTGCTCTGGTCCAGGTCTCCGTCTCCCTCACCTGGAAGACAGCGGCAGCCTCCTGGGCTCCCTGTGTCCCCCACACTCCTCCCCAGTGGCTCCCATCCCGTCCTGCTCAGGCTCAGAACAAATCCAAACTCTTAACTGTGCTCCTAAGCACCCCATGACTTGCCCTCCCTAACACCTCTCTGTCCATCCGTCTGCTCCAGCCACACTGACCCCTTTTCCTGTAGAGGCCAGGCACATACCCATGCCAGTGCCACCTCCAGGGCTCCCTGGCCCCCTGCTGGAGCAGGGCCCTGTTATCATAATCCGCTGGTGCTTGGCACATCAGTTACAGTTAACCCGTGACTATGTGACTAATCGGCCTCCCACTGGAATGACACCCCAGAAGGCAGTAACTGAACTTTTTGCTCCCTCCTGGGCCTAGCACAGTCCCTGGCACCCAGGGGCTGCTCACCAGATGTCAGGATGTGCTCTCCACAGCCCAGGATGGAGGGGCCGGGAGAGGAGGAGCCTGCCCACCAGCCAGGTGCAGGGCGAGGTTGGCTCAGGTGGCCAGGGCTAGGGCCTCAATGCCCTGCAGGGGCCTGGGTAGGAGTAGTGAGGGGCACGGGCTCTGGAGCCAGAATGCCTGAGCTGCATGGCACTGAGCAAGTTGCTGGCCTCTCTGTACCTCACATTCTCCCCTGCGAATGGGGAGACAATGCCTGACAGGGTTTTGTGGGTGTCCAAGATGTGAGAGCACAGGACCCACCCCCTTTCCGCCTGGTTAACTGGTGGCCGGGACCCATGCTGCTTTGCGGGGGTGGGGCCCGCACCTGCAGAAGGCGTGCAGACACTCCCGCAGCACCACGGCCTCGCCGGGCGCCAGCACCGAGTAGCACACGGGGCACTCGGCGGGCTCGGTGTTCAGCACCAGGCTCCTCTGGTCCAGCTGGATGTGCTGCAGGTAGTTCCCCTCCTGCTGCTGCTGCTTCCGCTGGGCACATGGGGCGGGGCCGTGGGCAGGTCAGGGTCTCAGGGATGGGTCAGACCAGGAAGGGGGCAGGACAAGGGTCCTGGTCAGATCCCAGAGAGGGGACAAGGCTGGGAGAGTCAGGATTCCCAGGCAGGGGTGGCAGTGGCTGGGCAGTGGCATGAGCGAGAGCTGCTGGGAAGAGTGAAGCTCGGAGCAGGGCCAGGCAGAGTACCAGGGGCAGGAGGAAGGCCAGGCAGGGCAAGTTGGGGCTGCAATCAGGAGTCAAGCCAAGCCAGGGAGCCATGGTGGTAAGGAAAGGCCAGGGTCTGAGGAGGCAATCAGAGGTACCAGGGCTCACATTTCTGCCAAGCTGAGCAGGCGGGGCCAAGGGTTGGAGGTGGGGCAAGGTAAGGTCACGGAGTAGTCAGGGGTATGGGAAGGGGAAGTGATGTTATGGAGCAGAGCAAGGCGGGAGAGAGGAGGAATCCGGCCAGGGTTGCAGATGGACCAGGAGGGAGGTCATGGCTGGGTGGGTAAGGGCAGCTCTGGGTCCAAAGGAGCAAGGTGGAGGATGGGGCATCCGATCGGAATGGGGACATCAGGGTCAGGTGTCTGTGTGATCAGCAGACAGGACGGGACTACAAGAGGGGCGGGCAGAGGGTGGGGCCAACCTCCCAGGGAGCAGTGAGGGGCTAGGTCCTGGGGTCACAGGAAGTCAGGGGTGGGATACAGCCAGAGAGGCAGGGTGGACAGGAATAGCAGGACTCAAGGTGAAGTCACAAGTGGACGAGGGGTGGCAGGTGGGACATGGTCAGGGTCTCAGCCAGGATGTTGGAATCCCAACAGGCACACTTGTACGCACAACTGGTGTGTATGTCAAAGCGAGGGGCGGAACCACAACCCACAGGGGGCAGGACATGAGAGCCTGGCTGGGGCCACAGCCAGGGAGCAGGGCCTCGGCCCCAGGAGAGGGAGGGTCAGTCAAGTGCAGGGGTCAGTCCAGGAGGGGCCAGGCAGCAACTGGGGAGGAGCAGGGTGTGGAGGGCCTCCCTTCCTGGCCTCCGCCTCCCGGTCCGTCCGCAAGTGTCTGCCTGGGGACACCCCTGCCCACCTGCTGGTACTGGCGCAGCGCCTCCTCCTCGCTGGCCAGGCGCGCTCGCTCCTCTGCGTCCGGCTGGTACGTGGCGGGGACCTGGTAGGTCTCGGGCCTCGCCCGGCAGCACATCTCACAGCCGGGCCGTGTGGGCTTATTGATGAAGGTACAGCCAGGGCACTGCCAGCCCACCTGGGGACAGAGGGGCCCTGAGCTCAGCACGTTGAGGGGCCAGGCAGGGTGAGTCGGGGACCAGGGGCGGCTTACCGGTGGGGGCTCAGGAATGGTGTCAGGCCCCTGACCTGGCTCCTGGGGGGCCCCAGGCTTCGGAAGTGCCGGCTCCTGTGGGCCCCTGGGCTGCAGCGCGAGGTCCTTGAAGCCCAGATCTGGGGAAGAGGGTTAGGAGTTGGTGGATCCATGCAGCCGACTTCGCCCACCCCGGCAGCCAGCCAGGACCCCACCCTGCGCCCCAGTCCCTCCTCCCCTCTCTCCTCCCCGGAGGAGTCTCCAGCTTGGTCCTACCAGGTGGACCCAGACCGGCTGAGAGTGCTGGTGCCACAGGGTCAGCGCCCCTCCTCCACCCACGAGTGCCCCTGTGTCCTGGCGGCTTAAAAATCCTGCCTCACAACCGGCCTCTTGTGCTCCTGCAGTGAGGCACCTTGAGGGACAAACAGCACTCCTGAGCTGGACCTGCCAAAATACTGACTCCGACCCATTCACGAGACACTTGACGAAAAAACAAAACTGGACTCTTAACACATCAATATCAGGAGGGTCAAGGGAAGACTGAGCAGGCCTAGGACTGAAGGGATGGAGAGGACAGCCGAATGCCAGGGCCTTTGTTATAAAGGACATCTATACTAATAAAAGGGTAATATGCTAATTAGACCGGACCTCTTCCGGATGTCATTCCAGACGTCCTGCCTGACAAAGCCGGGGCCGGAGGGAAGCCAGCCCGGATCCCGGGCACTATGGGCAGCCGGAGGAGGGAAGCCCGGGTCCCAGTGCCTGTGGGCAGCCAGAGGAGGGAAGCCCGGGTCCCAGTGCCTGTGGGCAGTCAGAGGAGGGAAGCCCGGGTCCCAGGTGCCGAAGGGAAGCCGGAGGAGGGAAGCCCAGGTCCCAGTGCCTGTGGGCAGCCGGAGGAGGGAAACCTGGGTCCCAGTGCCTGTGGGCAGCCGGAGGAGGGAAGCCCGGGTCCCAGGTGCCAAAGAGAAGCCGGTGCCGGCAGCCAGGGGAAGAAAGGCCTACTTTTGCATGAATTTTTGTACATCGGGCCTCTAGCTAGTACATAAAAGTGCAGTATCAATGCTAACTTTCTAAATTTGATAGCTGTATGTGGTAATACAAGAAAATTAGTCTTTTTTTTTTTAAAGAAACACACACAGAAGTAATTATGGGAGAGGGCTATCATGTCTGCAACTTACCCTCAAAACAGTTCAGAAAAAAATTATTTATACCCAAACCAATAATTTTTATAAATAATGTTATAGAAAGATGATAAAGCAGAACAAATATGGGAATCTGTTATACAATTATTTATACAATTTTGAAACTTTTCTGTAAGTCCGACATATTCAAAAGTATAAAGCAGCCCTAGCCGGTTTGGCTCAGTGGCTAGAGCATCGGCCTGAGGACCAAAGGGTCCAGGGTCGGATTCTGGTCAAGGGCATGTACCTCGGTTGCAGGCTCCTCCCCTGCCCAGACCCTGGTCAGTGCTCGTGCAGGAGGCAACCAATCGATGTGTTTCTCTCACATGGATGTTTCTGTCTTTCCCTCTCTCTTCCACTCTCTCTAAAAATCAATGGAAAAATATCCTCGGGTGAGGATTAACAAAAACAAACAAAAAAAAAACAAAAAAAAAACTAAATAAATAAAATATGAAGTAAAAAATTTAAACACTAGCAATTATTATCTAATTTACAGAGTTAGAAAAGTAATGAGCAAAGACAGGAAGGGTCTTGCCAAGACCACCCAGCTGATAAACGCCAGAGCCAGGGCTGGACCCAGCCCCTCTCCCCTGGGCCACTGTCCCCAAAATGGATCCCGAAACGACTCCCTCCCGGGGAGTCCTTCGTCCTCTCTTCCCCACCACGGGGAGGATCCTCCAGGTGACCTGCCCGAAAGCCCAGGGGCTCTGCTCCCTCGAGCCCCAGGGCCTCCGGTGAGGGCCCTGTCACTCAGGAGCGGAGCCTCACCTTCCAGCACCCGCAACTGGCGCTGCCGCTGCAGCTCTTGAGGGTTGAGGGAGGTGTTGCAGGCTGACAGCAGGTAGAGGTAGGCCCGGTCACCATCCCGCCGCACGCCATGCGAGTGCAGCGTCTCCTGGTCCCGGGCCAACCGCTGCCCAATCACCCACTGCTGCAGCGCTGGCGGGAAGCCATAGTCCAGGAACACCTAGGGGAGTGGGGAGGGGGAGGGGGGAAGACCAGGGAGAGTCAGAGCCAAATGGGAAGCCTCCGCCCTGATGTCTCCCCTCGGCCTCCTCACTCACCATGTCCTTGAGGGAAGCCACGGTCATGTCAGGTCGCACTGTGAGCCAGATGGTGACAGTGTGCAACTGAGCGTCCTCCACACTCACCCACAGCCTGCAGAGGAGAACTGGGGAGTAACACGGGCTCGGGCTGCAGGTCCCCTCAGCCGCCAGCTACCCGCATGGACATGTTTGTACACTTGTGCATGACATGCATGCACACACACACACACACACACACACAGGCCCCCTCCCACATCATCCCCCCAGTCTGTGTCAGGGGCCTCTCCTGGATTCTCGCACCCCTGTGCTTCCTTTATCAGAGCCCACTGCTCAGCCCCTGCGATGGCTGCACAGTGCTCCTGGAATACATCCACTCACCGTGCACACAGGGCCTCTGTGACTGCCCCCTCACCACCTCTCCAGCCTCTTCTATCCTTCTCTCTCTTGCTCCCTAACGAAGCCAGCAGTTATTTACCATATGCCCAGACTCTGCAAAGCGCCTGACATGCATTAACTCACCTAATCCTCTCAGCATACCCATCAGGCAGGTACGTTGTTATCCCTAATTTACAGATACAGACACGAGCCCAGCCCTAGCCTGTTTGGCTCAGTGGATAGAGCGTCGGCCTGCGAACTGAAAGGTCCCAGGTTCGATTCTGGCCAAGGGCACATGCCCGGGATGTGGGCTCGATCCCCAGTGGGGGGCTTGCAGGAGGCAGCCGATCAACGATTCTCTCTCACCATTGTTGTTTCTCTCTCTCTCTCTCCCTTTTCCTTCCTCTCTGAAATCAATAAAAATATATTTTTTAAAAAACACAAATGTGCCGAAACCGGTTTGGCTCAGTGGATAGAGCGTCGGCCTGCGGACTGAAAGGTCCCAGGTTCGATTCCGGTCAAGGGCATGTACCTTGGTTGCGGGCACATCCCCAGTGGGAGATGTGCAGGAGGCAGCTGATCGATGTTTCTCTCTCATCGATGTTTCTAACTCTCTATCTCTCTCCCTTCCTCTCTGTAAAAAATCAATAAAATATATTTAAAAAAAAAAAACACAAATGTATAAAAAAACAAAACAAAACACGAGCCCAGACAGGTTACCGTGACTTTGCCAAGTAAGCAATTTATAACTGTTAGAGGCAGGATTTCAATCCAAACAGTCTAATTCCAGAGAAATGGTTTTAAACACATCCTTTTCAAGGATCCCAAAACGTTTTTGGAAGACCAAAAGCATAAAAAGGGAAAGCTAAGCCGTAGCCCGTTTGGCTCAGCGGATAGAGCGTTGGCCTGAGGACTGAAGGGTCCCAGGTTTGATTCCAGGCAAGGGCATGCACCTCGGTCCCCTGCTCTGGTGGGGGTGGGGGGGATGCAGGAAGCAACCAATTGATGTGTCTCTATCACATCAATGTTTCTCTCTCTCTCACTCCCCCTTCCTTCTACTCTCTCTAAAAATCAATGGGAAAATATTAATTAAAAAAAGGGAGGGGGCGACTAAGATGAAAAACCAGAAATGAGGCCAGAAGAACCGGATAAATTAGGGTACAAAACAATAACAGTAAAGTCTACTTCATATCTTCAGAGAGATTTGGGAGAACACTGCATCCATAAAGGAAGAACAGCCAGAAGCAATCATAAAATGAGGAAGAATTCCTGAAAATTTACAAAGTGACTCTGGATTAACCTAGCCTTTAGATCCAACTACAAGTTCACAAGAAAAACGGGAGATACTAAATGACACCCTGAGGAGGCAATTAATAAATCCAGAATGTAGGAAATTTCTAAAAGTCAAAGACCAGTTTTCTTAAAAAAAATTAATGCCATAAAAATAGAGGAGAATAAAACAGGCTTAGACAATATTAAGAAACGCTATGTGTAGATCTCATTTGGTTCCTGATTGGAACAAACCAAGTATAAAAAACAGTAATGAGATAATTAGGGAAATTTGAATATAAACAGAGTACTAGGGGATTTAAAGGAGTTAATTTGTGAAAATGGTTTTGAGGTTATTTTTAAGTCCTTACTTTTTAAAAGATATCAAATTATTCAGGAATGAAATAATATCTGAAATTTGCTTTAAAATACTCCAGAAAATACTCTCAAAATTCCTCAGGATAATGATTTTCAACACCTAACCAACTATCAATGACATGAGGGCAAAATATAGAAATTTTTAGACATGTAAAGACTTCAAAAGTTTAGCATCCACTTTCCCATACAAAAAGTTTTTGAAATATAAGAACTAAGAATAGCCTGGCCAGCGTGGCTCAGTGGTTGAGCATCGACTTATGAACCAGGAGCTCACGGTTCAATTACTGGTCAGGGCACATGCCCGGGTTGTGGGCTCAATCCCCAGTAGGAGGCGTGCAGGAGGCAGCCAATCAATGATTTTCTCTCATCACTGATGTTTCTATCTCTCTCTGCCTCTCACTTCCTCTCTGAAATCAATAAAAATATATTTTAAAAATAAAATGCTGTTTGGTATAATAGGTATAAAATAAATTCTGTGGAAGAGGGAAAACAATAACTGTTCTATTGGCAAGAATATATTATGGCCCCCGAGGGTGCAGCAAGCCCTATGTCCCTGGCCAGCCATGCACTCCTCACCTGATGTCCTGTGTTGGGGAGATCTCAGGCTTCAGCTGCACCCTCAGGGGTACCCGTTGCTCTGCCAGCCAGGTGGCACACTCCATAGCCACCTGTTCATCCCCACCTGCCACTGCTCGGCTGAGTCTCAGGGCCATCTCCTCGGCTAAAATTCAACACAGTGGAAGCAAGTTAGCACAGGGTTTATTTCACAGGATCTGAGGATGAGGGATCACAAAGTAGGTGATCCTTTTACATGCTGCTTCCTCTGTCATCCCGGTGAACTCCTACATATCCTTCAGCACCCAGCTTAAAAATCCCCTTCTTGCCTGGCCAGAATGGCTCAGTGGTTGAGTGTCGACCTATGAACCAGGAGGTCAGGGTTTGATTCCCGGTCAGGGCACATGCATCATCCCCAGGAGGGGACGTGCAGGAGGCAGCCAATAAATGATTCTCTTTCATCATTGATGTTTCTCTCTCCCCCTTCCTCTCTCTGAAATCAATAAAAAATATATTTTTTTAAAAAAACACACCTTTCTGCCCTGACCAGTTTGGCTCAGTGGATAGAGCGTTGGCCTGCGGACTGAAGGGTCCCGGGTTCGATTCCGGTCAAGGGCATGTACCTTGGTTGCAGGCACATCCCCAGTGGGGGGTGTGCAGGAGGCAGCTGATCGATGTCTCTCTCTCATCAATGTTTCTAACTCTCTATCCCTCTCCCTTCCTCTCTGTAAAAAATCAATAAAATATATTTTTAAAAAAACCAAAAAACAAAAAAAACACCTTTCTCTGGGAAGTCTTCTCTGATACTCCCCAGTCCCCCTCCCTGCTCATTTGGTTCTATTTGTCCTTCATACTCCCAGGCCCCCCCATATTTCCATTCATTTATCTGACAAGCATTTATTGAGCTCCTACTGTATACCAGCCACTGTCCCAGAAACTGGGATTCAGCCAGTGAATTAGCTAAACACAGTCCCTCTCTTCATGTACGTTTCAACCTGGTAATTAGACAAGTTTAATAACGAGGGTGGGGGGCGGGAATCAGATTGTGATCCACGCTGGCAAGGAAATAGACAGGGTAAGGAGATGAGAGAAGGCCTCTAGGAGGAGGTGACACTGAAGCTGAGCCCTGAAAGAGGAGCTGGATATTTCAAGACCCAGCTGGGGAAGAGTCCCAGGTAGAGAGAAAGGTAAGGGCAAAGTTCTTAGCAAGAAAAGGTTGGATTAGATCAGAAAGGTGGGGGGGGGGGGGGCGCTCCAGCAGAATGAGCAAGAGAGTGATGAGCGGAGGAAGTCGGTGAGGTCAGCCAGGGCAGCGGCAGGGCCTTGTGGGCTATCCAGGGCCCAGGCTGTTCCAAGAACGCGGGGCGCACAGGAGGGTTCCGAGCCGGTGGGGACAGGGGGCAAGGGGCGAGGCCAGGGCCCTTGGTATTGAGGTCAGCGGGGTGCCCCCGCCCCTGCCC